GGAAACGTTTTGTAAAATTTCCTTGAATTTGAATATTCTTGTTTGATACTTCTTTTTAGGTTGTTTCTAAGGTGGGGAAGCTTGTGAGTGAATTGAAAGAAGAAAAAGAGGTATGTGAGTTGCATGCTGTAAAAGATGGTACGCTTGTTCTGATGGGTGTGCAATCAAGAAGTTCGGACATTGTTCTCGGTTCCCTTACAAATTCACCGACTCTAAAAAGAAAATTCACATCGATTTCTTTAGTTAGCTTTCTAAACAGCCGCAAGAAAAGCTTTAATCAAGTTAGAAAAATGATATTTTGCTCGTATTTATAAAGTTAGCTAAACAAACCAAGTACATAATTCGTTTAAAAGTCGTACACTTGTAAGGAAATCCGAGATCAATAYCCGAACTTCTTGGTGACCCTAACACAATACAACACCATTTTGAATAAGAGATTTCTCTTTTGGGTGGATAAAGGCTATCGAAATTTATCAACTTGGCTTTGGCTGGCTTTGAGAATGGAAGTTAAAAAGCTTTTGGGTGGATGGGGAGAGGTAGGCTAGTGCACATCATCCTTAAGAATTTGGGTTAATTTTTGCCGTGTGGTTTTTCCTTCTTTCAGCTGAATCAATGTCTTCGTGATAACCAAAAGCTATGGAACGAAAAAGTGTCGCAGATGGAAAAGAAACTAGAGGAAACAGAGACCAAATATAAGAAGGTAAAATGACTCGTGCTGTGTAGGGATTAGACAGTTGTATCACAAGTGTATAGACACTTTGCTCCGCACTTTTACTATCACATGTAAAAGTGATATAAGTACGTAGCGGTGAGACTGGTTTTGGCTCCTGAAGTCGTTGAGAATTGTTAATGGTCCACTTTGAACGACAAAACCCGAAATTTCAAACTTCTGCTGTCTTGTTAAAGTAGCCTTGAAAATGGGTGTAAATGAAGTTGTGGAAGGTCCGCGATGTATGTCACATCGTGTTACGCGCGCGACTATTGGACGTTTGCATGATAGGGTCATTTGACTCCTACTACCACAATGCTTCRCGAATTTTCTTTCTTATTTAAATTTGTATTCCCTCATGAGAATASTAAGACAATTGGTGCTAATTAACTGAACAAAAGAAAGTGTGCAAGGGAGTCTGGTAGTAGAGGTCAATGACGCCATTGTGCAAACGTCCTATTGACATTAAAACTTATTCTCTTGTAGGAGGTTAGTGATCTACAGGAACAAGTAAATGATCTGATGAGACACTTCGAGACACAGCAAGCCATCGCGTGTGCACCCGATGATACTAGACAGGTAAGATACATCAGGTTAGGGACTGTTCATTTTGCCCAGACGTATTTTTTGAGGGGGAGGGGGTGGGGTGGGTTTTAGTCGGCACGTAAAAACTATGGCATTTAAGGGGGGAAATTGAATATTGTGCTAATTGATAAAATACTTTCTTCTGCACTGAAAGAAAGTTGTTCGAAGTTCAAGGTTTTGTTGTTGGTCCCACCAGGAACTCCAGGAAGGACAACTGATGGTCGGGGAATCTCAAACGCAGCAACCTAAATCGAGACGAAAAAGAAGATAACAGGCCAGAACGAACAAACACCGCAAACATTAAACCCGTGTGGAAAAACTGATATTAAAACTAGATAGTGCTAAATAAATACTGCAAAATCGTTCCTTTTTGTAGTAGAGTGCGTACCATCCGTGAAAAAGTTAACTAACAACATTGTACAAGTCAGAGCAAAGTTTTATAGGTCTACAGTCTACTGAAGTTTACTGAGCTTACTAACTTGTGCAATTTTTCACAGAAAGTGTTTCACAGATATACAGTATGCACTCTATATTTTAGCGTTATTTGGTTAAAACGATCGATCGATACGAAAATGAAATAAAATATAAATTACATTTCATTATTAAATTACAGAGTTCCGCAGATCTAGATTGACACAGGTTGTTTATTTTTCGAAAGACTGTTTTATTTGTATGTAATATTTAAAAATGAAGTCAGAGAAGCATTAACAACACAGAAACAGCGACAAAGATAAATACAAAATGTTAATTAATGAATTTCAGAACTACACTCGTCTAAGTCTTGGGAACTACAGATTTAGTATGACTCTTAAAAGTTACGGTAAGCAATTGACTATACTTTAAGCCAATCACAGCACACAACATCAGTGATCATCCAATACAGCACGGTCACGGTAGGCACGCCTTAACAGCGACTTCTTTGCAATGATACGAGAAGATTAATTGGACTGAAAGTCTATAGTGTGTTAGGTAGCACCGCGTTATAGTAGATTAGCAATAACACAAAACAATGTAACGTTCAATGGCAATAAAACTTAGTACGTGGTAAAAAGGTTCACATTTCTTAGTATCGTATATACAAAGTTAAAGGATACACACACAGAGAGCAATAAATTTCAACATTTTTCTGCTTGCAATTCAAGCCTTTACTATTTTACGTTAACAATATGATTGACGACTGATTGGAAAGTGGCAAATGAGGTGAGAGTAAAGTTACGAGAAAGATAGCGAGCATTTTCTGTAAGCTTGTCTTCCTAGTGAGTGAACCATCTTCAGAATTGAAGAGCCGCTTTTTGGAGGTGCTAGAATAAGCAGACTGGCTTTTGGAAGGTAAAGATTAGAGGTCCTTTAATTAAACATGTCTTTTCTGTAAGTTTGTCCTTTGAACATTCCTAGTGGAGTGAAACATCTTCAGTATTGATGAGCCGCTTACTGGAGATGCTAGAATAAGCAGACTGGCTTTTGGAAGGTAAAGATTAGAGTTCCTTTAATTAAACATGTCTTCTCTGTCTGCGGTGATCTGCTCTGACTCTTCCATCGCGCTGAAGTTCAGGAAATGAGAAGGGCGGTGTACCTCGTGGTAAAARTCTTTAGGGTTTGACAGTTGGAGCTCGTACCGCATATTAGGAGAGTGACGAACACCTGCAAAAAATCATCATTTATCAGCAAGGTTGTAATCAAGAGGAACAAACTTGTTTGAATACATATTTCAAAAAAGGTTGTCGCACCCAAAGTAGATAGACGATTAACAATAAGAGATCAGTTATTCCAATCATTAGCTGGAATGACTGGTGTTTTTTATTCATTCTCTTCAAGGACACCAAGGTTAGCGTTGCTCGTAGCTGCAATTTCCAACACCCATGCACGCCCACAATTCCTTTCGCTCTTAAAATGATCTATCATTTTTTGTGTGGTTCCAGCAACCTTTTTTGAAAAGGATGCATACAAAATAGAATGCGGCGAAAAACTATCCCTCGAATCAAGGGAGATAACTCAAAAATGGGACGAGAGGTGAGGCCAAAGCCACCACTCAATAATTCAGCTAATGCCGATGCTTGTGGCAAGTCCTTTAAATATCAAGTTATTACTAGGAATACTCACCCATGAAGTTATAGTTCCAAGAGCCTTGAGCAGGAACCATGAAGAACCCAAGGAAACGATCAGACAGGAGCATCTGTACCTTCTCGTAATGAGATGGTAGGTAACCACGTGGGTTGTTACCAGTATCCTTGTTATTACGACCCCAGTCATAACCAGATGGGGTCAACTTGTAAGCTGTTAGTGAGCATGATCCTGGCGTGAAACTGTAYGGGAAACGATGGACGAGGTTAGAATAGGGCACTAGCGTAGGCTGGGTGGCACGAGCCCCCTCAACAGTTTGCTTTCGGCATCAAAATTTTATTAATTCATGCGGGATTCCTGTGGATTTGGCGGGAAAATGGGACATTGCCCCCCCATAATCGAGACCTCTCTACGCTCCTGAAGCCTGGGTATATGAGGAAAACGTACTCTACAGAATAGTACGTCTGCAGTCCACAGACATGTTTTGTTACATACCTGCAAGTGATAATSACCGTCTTCTCACCATCCCAGGATGGATTGTCAGCCATGATCTTRGCATGCGTTGTAACATCCTGAGGGCCCAACTGAGGCAGTTCGTTAGGCTGTGTGTGAATCCATCCAAGGGGTTCCACTTCCTGGTTAGAAGAAATAAAAAAAGATTAATGTATCCTATCTAAAGTGTACAAATGTCTACATCACTATTTTAGTAGTGGTTCTAGATAAAAGCTAAAGAAAAACTCTTTCTGTCACTGTTTGCATCCAAGTAATTGATAATGACATTTTAAGGTACTTACTTTAAGGTAGTCGTGCTGTGGTAACATGTTMGGCAGGTGGACAGTCTGTTGAGAAAATATTAGTCCAAAGATCAGATATGACAACTTATTCGAGTTCCAAATTACCACTGTGTTTCTTGATTACAGACTCATTTGCACAGGGTTAGCCTCGTATCCGTGTCTAAATATTCACAAATACCAACAGTAAAGTAGGTCAAACACAAAGCATTCAGTCGAGGTTCCAAGGTTCTAATTTGAATAATCCTTTGAAAGTACCTTGGCGCCTCGCTTGAGCGCTTCGTGTTTGACCAGTGAACCGATGTATGGAAAATGGTGAATACAAACACTTTGAACACTTGACTGGAACACGTGAATATTCTGCACAAAGTCTAAGGAGGCACAGAGGCTAACTCGAAACTGGAGCAAAATACTGACATACCTGATGTGTGCCCCACTGAGGGACCATCACAATGCATCGTATCTCCTTGACTTGTGGGTTATCTGGAGGACTTACGCCATACAGATAACCAGATATCTAACAAACCAATGCAATAATGTCAGTATTAGGATATTCAMTTCAGGAATACGATAATTCCAACGTGTACACCGAGAAGGTGCAATACTATAGACYCCTTGCAGTCTGCCAGAATGCAGCTCAATTTGGAGGACATAAACAATAGGTTTCCAATTCTCAGGAGATTGAAATTCTTTGTTTTTGTCCTCAAAATTGAGCTGCTTTGACGTCACATGTAAGTGGTCTACTTGGTTTATCACGTCAAGGACAAGGAAAGAATAGATAATATATTTTGAACCCATTCACCTGAGTCCTTAGATCAGATATAACAATGAACTTCTTCAGCACATTCTTCGGCAGAATATATGTGAATCCAGTCTCCTTGATATCATCAGACGACACATAGATGTGGTTAGTACGAAGATGAAGGTTAGTAGCTGATATGGCTCTGACACGCCACTC